CACTATGAGTTGATTCTCCAACCCCACATCTTTACATAATGCATTGAACTCAAGATAGGTGTACTCTTTTCCCCTATCACTTCTTAGTCTTTCCCTTCAAGCCTTTCCAGCTTCAAATGGATCTCTGTGATGCTTTCCAAGCACACACCCTTCACAGGTTTCACTGCATTGATCCAACTTTGGTATACCTTGTACCATTTCATGCTTTTACAGATTTTCTAGACTTGTCATGTTTAAGTGACCAAGCCTCTTATGCCATAGCTTCATAGAACTTGTCACACTTGTTTTCCTTGCCACCTCTCTTAGGTACTTCAACATAAGTGGAAAACTTCTGTTTTTCACTTCCACTCATATTCACTAGGTTTGATAGGGACTTGTCATCATAGATCTCGACCACAATTCCTCCAAAAAGTAGGAAATAGCCATGCTCCATCATTTGACCCACACTAATTAGATTCTCATCCAATCCAGGCACTAGCATCACCTCCCTTATGTATCTTCTTCCTTTCTTAGTGTTAACGAACATAGCTCTTCTTCGAGTGGCTTTGACAATGTTTCCATCTCCCATTTTCACTTTTCCAGTGAAGTTTGTGTCAATGTCAATGAGTAATGACTCATGTGCAGCCATGTGATTGCTGCAACCACTGTCAATGTACCACACTTCAGTGTTTTTCTCCATTTATGCACTGAAAGCACAAAACACATTTGCTTCTTCTTCTACTTAGTTTGCACAGTTCACTTGCTGCACATTCTTTGATTTGCAATCCCTTATGATGTGCCCGAACTTGTTGCATTTGTGACATCTAGGCTTGTCCTTGAACCAACACTCTCCAAAATGGAAATTGTCATAGTGCTTGCATTGCTCCTTGGTTCTTGGACCTTCATTTGAGTTGCTACCTTGGTTAGGTCTAGGGGTTTTGTTACCCCTTTCCTTCCCATTTCTTGTTCTTACCCTTCCACTGTGGTTTTTGTTTGCTTGCATTAGCTTGACTACTAGATCCAATAGAGAGAGATTGAAATGCTTTCTCAGTGGCAAAATCTGCATGCCTCTTGAGCTTTTGGTCAAAAACTCTTAAGGATGCCATCACATCTTGCACACTAAGAGTTTCAATGTCCTTGATTTCTTCAATGACACTCACTATTGAATCATAGGGCTTAGTTAAACTGATCTACAGTTTCTGGACAACTCTCTCATTAGGCAATTCCTCACCATGTGTTTTCATCTTATTTACAACATCAAATAGACTAGTAAAGTAATCTTTCAACATCTCATTTTCCCTCATTCTTGTATACTCGAAATCTCTTCTACGGGATTGAAGTTTTACCTTTCTGACTTTGGGGTCTCCTCTGTACTCTTGCTGTAAAACTTCCCAAGCTCCCTTTGCAGTTTTTTCATTTGCTATCCTCGGGAAAATAGTGTTTGAGACAGCACCTTGGATGATTCCAAGTGCTCTAGCATCCTCCATCCAGTTCTACTTCAGTGTTTTGAGTTGTGTTTCTATGAGGTCCTCCTTTAGAGCATCGACCTCCATCTTAGGTAGTTCATACCCATGTTGAACCATATCCCATATATCATAGGACTTGAAAATGGTTGTCATTCTTATTCTCCAAAAATCATAGTTCTCCCCCATCAAAGACTAGAGCCTTTAGCTCACTGCTACTGCTTGATCCCTTCATTTGCAGGGTTGTTTGTTGATTGTTGTTGTTGAGGATACTATGTAGGTGCTCCCAAAGATCTCAACTTGCACATATTATGCCTAGAAAGTTGTAAGATCAGAAACTAAGCTCTGAGGCCATGATAAAGTTTGTTTGTTTAGATGTTTTGGTTGATAGTTTGGATTGGTTTCTTAGGGTTAGAATAGTAAAGAATGGAGAGGACTTGGAGAAGTGATTGACGGCTTTAAAGGCTGTGTAAAGTGCAGCAGCCATAATTTCATTAAGTAGAGGAAATCTTGTAGGGTATGGTGCATTGCCATGACCCATGCTTGCTTAAAGGAGTGATTGACAAGAGACTTAAACAACTCTTTTATCCTTACTACTCCAAATTAAATCCTAGCCCTTCATTTGGTTTTTAAGTGATCTAATTTGGAATGTACATTTGTCACTCACACACTTCACATACATTTAAACTGAAAAACTAACCGTTGGAGGCTAAAACCCTTTCTTCTTCGATGCAGTTAGAAGCCATGCTCGGGAGCTCCTTGCTGCCTTCGATCCTTCGACTTCAGAAGCTGTTTAGCTTCCAACAGGGTACCCGTCTTCAACTGTGGTATTGACGCGTAGCCATGAAGTTCAGTCCTTGATGACATCAAGATCGTGTGGCGTTGGTATTAGAGTTAACCGGAGGCTTATCACAGGATACAGAGCGATCAAAGAATGTGACGCCTCTGCCTTAGAACGTGCAGAGAGTTCGAAGGTGACTTTTGCGATTACTTGGAAGCACAGTTTCAAAAGCCAGTGCTTTTAACCGGACCCGTATTGAGCCTGGAAAAAGGACCAAAATTATTAGAAGAAAGGTGGGCTGATTGGTTTGCCGGGTTTGAAGCCGGATCAATGGTGTTTTGTGCATTTGGAAGCCAGTGGGCATTTGGAAAAGACCAATTCCAGGGTTTGAGCTAACTGGGTTGCCATTTTTGGTAGCTGTGAAACCGCCATTGGGCTTTGTGCACCACTGTGGGTATGGGATAATGTGGGAGTCTTTGATGAGTGAGAATCAGATTGTGCTGGTCCCACAATTGGTGGACCAGATCTTGGGAGCCAAGTTGCTGGCTAAAGAGCTCACGGTTGCAGTGGAGGTAGAGAGAAGAAGATGGGTGGTTTTCAAAGGAGAGTTTGAGCAAAGCTGTTAAAAGTTTGATGGATAAAGAGAGTGAGGTGGGTGTTATGGTGAAGAAGAACCATGCAAAGTTTAGGGAAATAATATGGGAGCCAGGGTGGGCTACGTTGATAGGTTTGTTGACAATCTGAAAGAGCATGTTTAATTATATCTTTGATGTCTTGTTGACGTCTTTGATGTATGACAGTTGAAGTTTATTTCAATAAGTTGCCGGTTGGATTGGTCCAACCAAGAAAGGCATGGGGCATTACTTTACTTGTTTGCTTATGATCTGAATCATTCGTATTATAGATCATTATGTAAAGATACCTTTGCAAAAAATCAATTAAAACTAAGTCCTTTTAGTTAATCAACTTTACTTGTTATGATAAACTAGCATCATATGTGCTAACAAAATGCAAGTGTCCCTAGCCAAACTTACAGCCTAAAAGGCATTTCCAGCTCAACAAAACCTTGCTTCAGTTAGCATGCAAAACCCTTGTTCATACAGCACCAAATACTACAATTTGAATTGGTTCACAATAAACACCCTCCATACAAAAGGAATGGCAAAATGCAAAATATGGTTCAAAGAAATTGAAGCAACCATGTAACTTTCGACTTCCAAATTAACAACGAGCGTCAACTGGAAGACCATGGCATGAGTAGCTTAAGCACATCTCTTCATACATGTTCATGTCACCGCAATAGAATTCTACCCAAGGTTAAAAAAAGTGATACAAAGCGGATACGAAATTTAAACAGCCCAAAAATAAACATCAGAAAATCGATCCATCTTAGGATTTAACAGATGTGCTTGTCTGGTTTCCAACTTTGATGGCTGAATCCATCTAAAACACAATGCTGGAGTTACAAAATAGAAAAACGTTGTGAACGCTGCAGTTTAGACAACTTCAACCAGACAAGTCCTAGAGCCCCTTTCAAGCATTAGTTCTTTGTACAACTCATCATTGTCAACAGTCATCTTAGTCAAAACTTTACCGCTGTTTAACAAACACTTTGTCACTTTCTTCACATGCGGGTATCCCTCGAGTCCCCTTATAGTGATAGTCTTGAGGTGTCCTGTCACACAAATCGGCACAGACTCTGGTGTACTCCATAGATCCTCTTTTGAGTACCTTTCAAGCTCCTCATGATCCTCAACGCATTCCTCATCCTGAAAAGTACGAATGATGAGAATACTAGAGAGCATCAAGTTGTTATGACTTAGCATGAGCGAAAATACATCTTGCTTCTTCATAATATGAAGACAAGAGATGCCAAATTAGGTGATTTCTTGACGAACTGTGTTAGCAAATCCCAATGATAGCAATCGTAAACAAGCAACTTCAATTCGGTCAAATGATTTAAAGCAGGCAGACAACCCTGGCTCACGAAATATAAAAAAATGGGTACATTACAAAAAACCACATCAATTATGGATCGCATCACAATTTCATGCCTCATGTTTTAAACATTACAATGTTATACTTTAATTTATGAGTCCATTGCAATGTCATACTTCCGTTAAAAATGCAATCAATTTATTTGTTAAATGCTAACGTAGCAACAAATTAATTTGTGCCACGTGGCAAAAAATAATTTCAATAAAGTTTAATAATCTAATAATGCCAAAAACAAGAAAATCTATTTAAAATATAAAAAAGTTTCATCATTTTAAAAGAAAAAGTTGCAGACCTTCCCACCCATCTTCCCCGACCAACCCCAACCCTCTCGACCCTCCGTTGCGCAATCCATGAGAATCATCCAGCCAAAATACCCCTTGTTAAAAAACCAGACCTACAATGGTCTCAACCTACCAGTGCCGCAATGGTGATGGAAGCAATGGAGAAGATGAGTGAAGAGAGAGAGAGAGAATATTCTATTAGATTTTTCAAAGCATACCGTTACAAATATTTCGGAATAAAAAATATAGCTACCACTAGCATTCCTCCCTAATGAGTGACTGCCAACTGGACACTTAACAACTAATTAAATTGACTCCCCAAAAGACTTAGGCTATTACAATCCAACCCCAATTCTTTAGACTCTTACAATTAGCCCCAAAATCCCTTATAATTTAGTCCCATACGACTAATAATAATTTATCCTTGTGACTGAAACAATCACTCGAACTTAGTTCATAACAATACTCCCCCCCTTCGAACAACCTTGTCCTCAAGGTTCAAAGTGGAAAATCTGGAAACTTATTCTTGAGCTCATCGAAATCCTCCCAAGTTGCATTAGCTTCCTCTTGGTCATTCCATTGCACCAGCACTTGTACACCAGCAACACTACCCTTTTTGTACATCCTTCTAGCAAGAATTGCTTGAGGAATGTTATGAGCCAACCCATCTTCTATGACTTGAGGCAACACATATTGTGGAGTGATTGCATAACCTAGTTGTCTCTTGAGGCAGCTCACATGGAAGATAAGATGAATCTTGGTTTTTGCAGGGAGTTTTAGCTTGTAAACCACCATTCCAACCTTCTCCACGATTTCATAAAAGCTATAGTACCTTAGTTGTAGCTTATGGTAGCTATGTGGAGCTAGAGCTTGTAACTGATATGGCACCAATTTCAAGTAGACCAACTCTCCAACCTCCAAATGCATTTCAATTCTCTTTCTGTCACTATATTGCTTCATTCGATTATGTGCTACTTCCAAGTTGATCTTCAACACTGATAACACCATATCTTTGTCCAATAAACCTTGTTCCACAACTTCTACCTTTGCAGTCCCTAGCTTGTAAGGGATTACTTGAGGTGGGGGGTAAACATACATTAACTCAAAAGGGGTATATTTTAAGGAAGTGTGAAAGGAAATATTGAAGCACCACTCAGTCCATGGTAACCATTGAACCCATTTCCTAGGTTGCCCTCTCACAAAGCATCTTAGATAGGTCTCCAAACACCTGTTCATTACCTCAGATTGCCCATTACTGGATCTCTGTCACTCACAATGGAACTAGGTATTCCATGAAGTTTGAAAATGTATTCCACAAAGAGTTGTGCTACTGAAGATGCAGTGTAAAGATGTGACATAGGCACAAAGTGAGCATACTTTGAAAGCTTGTCCACCACCACCCATATCACAGATTTTCCCTTGCAATTGAGTAGACCTACTATGAAATGCATGTTGATATCACTCTATATTCTCTATGGGATTGGAAATGGTTGCAACAACACATGAGGTGACATATTTTCGATTTTGTTTTGTTGACAATTTGGGCACTCAGGTATGAATTTCTGAATGTCATGTTTAATGCCCTTCCAATAAAAACTCCTCTTGATCCTTTGATAAGTCTTGAGCACACCTTGATGACCTGAAGATGGAGTGGAGTGATGTTCTTCAATAATTTTTGCTCTTTATTTAGAAGTAGGCCCTAACATAATTCTCTTCTTGTAACAAAGAAATCCATTATCAATAGAATACCTACCCAACTTTTAACTACTAGAACCATCTTGTAGGGACTGAGCAATCTCTTTCTTCTTCTCTATAATCCACTCATCCTGTTCATTGCTTTTCCTCAAGTCATCTATCCACCTAGCATAAGGGTAAGATATAGCAACACATTCAACATCCTTAGAGATCTTAGTGATAAATTCTTGCAAACAATGAGCATCCTGCAATCTTGACAGTGCATCAGCAACCATGTTTTGAGCCTTTTGCTTATATTGAATCTCATAATCATACCCCATGAGTTTTGAGACCCACTTTTGTTGAAAGGGAATACTTGCCCTTTGGCTTAAGAAATACTTGAGACTGTTGTGATCTGTCTTAATAATAAGATGTCTCTATTGCAAGTAATTCTTCCATTTTTTGATTGCATACACTATAAAAATTAGTTCTTTCTCATAAGTGGAGAGTGCTTGATTCGTCAGACCTAGAGCTTGGCTAGTGAATGTTGTAGGTCTCCTCCTTGTTGAAGAATAGCTCCAATGCCACAACCTGATGCATCACACCCTAATTCAAATGGCTTGGAGAAGTTTGGAAGGGCCAAGACTTGTGGTAATGCCATAATGGACTTGAGTTTTTCAAAAGCCTGTGCAGCTTCCACTCCCCAATTGAAACAATCCTTTCTGGTTAACTGATATAAAGGTTGACATATTTTCCCATACCCTGGAACAAATTTCCTGTAATACCCAGTTAAGCCTAGGAATCCTCTTAGCTCTTTGACAGATTTTGGAGTAGGCCACTCTTGTATAGCTAACCATTTAGAAGGATCAGCTGCAACCCCCTTGTGAGAAACAATATGACCTAGGTATTCTACACTTGATTGTCCAAATGAACATTTGGATTTCTTGAGATACAACTGATTTTCCCTTATAACCCCCAATACTACCTGCAAATATTGTAAGTGTTCATTCCAATCCTTGTTATACATCAGAATGTCATCAAAGAATACTAGCATAAACTTTCTGAGATAAGCTTGAATATATCATTCATTAGACTTTGACAAGTGGGTGAAGCATTGGTAAGCCCAAAAGGCATCACCAAGAATTCATAGTGACCCTTATGAGTTCTAAATGCTGTTTTTTTCCACATCACTAGCTTTCATTAGGATTTGTTGTATCCAGACCTCAAATCTAGCTTGGTAAAGTACCAGGCACTATGTAATTCATCCAACAGATCACCTATGAGAGGTATGAGGTATTTATCCTTAATGGTTAAGGCATTAAGCTCCCTATAGTTTATACATATCCTCCAACTACCCTCTTTTTTCTTGACTAGGAGCACAAGAAATGAGAAGGGATTGTGATTTTGTCTAATAAACCCTGCAGCTAATAGCTCTTGCATTGCCTTTTCAATTTCATTTTTCTGCAATGGACCATAGTGATATGGTCGAATGTTTGGGGTAGGCACTTGGAAAATATCCTCAAATTGCTCCAATACAACCTGGAGTTCATGTAATTGCTCCACATTTAAGTCATGGAACTCCATTTTCCCACCCTCCATAGAATAGAGGAATAGTCCTAAGTTAGAACTACCAAGCTCTTTATCAATGTGCTGCAGAGAAGTTTCTTGAATCAACTATGAAGGGGTCACAGTGTGAGAGAGTTTGTATTTATGTTGATCTTTAGTAAACTCCATTGTAAACAACTGGAAGTCCCATAACATAGGACTCACAGTTGATAACCATTGCTGTGAAATCACGTTCTCGGATTTCACTGTTATAATCTACGTAATTGTATTATTGAGATTTTTATTTTTCGGGAATTTATATTAATTTATTTGAATTTAGATTTTAATTAAACTAGTTACAAAGAGTGAAGTTTGGAAACTAATTATTTAAAATCTGTCGATCGTTCATGTCACAATTTATATTTTTAAATAGAGCTCGATCTCACGAATGCATAGGCACAAACCGTTCGTGAAACAGCGCCATAACGAAGGAGTTATTAACGTTTAAAATTAATGATATTTCGGTATTTTTACCTCAATCAAGAAGGCTCCAGATTTTATGGAGCACTGAGATTATGCCACATGTGTGGCTAACATAAAAAGAAAAGAAGAGATGGACGGACAGGATGAAAAGGAAAGGAAAGAGAGAAGAAATGAGAGATGCGGGAGAGAAAATGAGAGACAAGACCAATCAAAAAGGGAGGAGGAAAATGAGAGGACGAATGAGGGAGAGTGAGGGAAAAGGAGAGAGGTGAGATGCACGGAATCAACCCCAACCCATGGCACCTGTGACCCGAACCGTTATCCCGGTGACATTCCGTCGCTTATCCGCCATTTTTTTCTGACGAATTGGACCGATCTACCACCCCCAATATTGTTCTAGTCCTTCCCTCTTCCATTTCCACCTAAAATTATAATGAAATTGGTTTTATTTTGGTGGAATACTACCCGATGGGAAACATTGGTGCACGGCGGCAATTCCGCCGTTTTTGCAGCTATTGTCAACGACCACCACCCTTGAGGCCTAAAACATAGCCTAAACACTAGTAGGGGCGTCAGAGCATCCATGGAGTGGAATCGAAGTACACTCAAAATCTAGGGTTCTGGTGGGTTCAAGGTAATTCCGAGCACTTTCCGGCCGAAAGACAATTTGGCCCAGGTATGAAACTTACTCTACTCATTGAGATCTACAATTATGTAAATTTTCGTAATTTTTGGAAATAGTTGAATTTTCCGGCAACTCGGGGTGGTCGACCACCACCCTCAGCGGCGCATGCCCAATGGGCCAACAATGTCTTTCTAAGTTCAATTAGATGCCTTGATTTCATAATTGATATTCGTAAGAAGTGGTTTGGTTGTTTGAACTTAGTTTCATTATGATACATTACTTGAACAATATATGAATTGACGATACGACCGTTGGATCATATTGAAATTTTAATATGTTGTTTTATAAGCATAATGTGAGTCTTTGGAAGTTACGGATCTGAAATCTGATGTGCGGATCTTATGGATCAAATTACGTAGGGTTGTGGGCACCACCGTTGATCGAGAGTTCACTTTTGGTCAACATGTCTCAAATCGTTTGTAAAACTAAAATTAGTATTAATAGAGGCTCAGTGAGGCTTTGTGGACCTATCTAGGTGAGTGACTTTAATATATGTGATATGGTGATTACCCGATTCTTTATATTAATATCCTTTGTGGATATGACTTGGTTTTATAATTGTTTTTTCTATTAAAATGTGACTTAGTTTTATAAATGTGTTTTTTGTTAAAATGTGATTCTTTTATAATTGGCCATCGATCTATTTTTATTAAATGTGAATTGATTCATGGATTGGTAATATTTGTGAAAATAATGATTTGAATTGCATATTGAAATGTTTATTAAATTGAGGGCTAGTAGGAGACCATGACCCTGTTTGGTGAATCCGCGATAAGGGATCACTAGTGGTCTTGCTTGGTTAATCCGCGATAGGGGACCATATTATTTATGGATCATGATTGGTTAATCCGCGATAGGCGATCCTTATAGCCATACATACTTAGAAGTGATCATGCTTGGTTAATCTGCGATAGGTGATCACTGCCTAACAGTTCCGTAAGTGTGACTCTGCTTGGTTAATCCGCGATAGGGGACCATGATCTTGCTTGGTTAATCCGCAATAGGGGACCATATTTTCTATGGATCATGCTTAGTTAATCTGCGATAGGCGATCTTTATATCTTTGGTATGGCCATACACACACACACACACACACACACACACACACACACACACACACACACTTAGGGGTGATCATACTTGGTTAATCCGCGATAGGTGATCACTGCCTAACAGATGCATATGAGTGACTTTGCTTGGTTAATCCACTATAAGGGGTCACTGCCTACTTGGTTACTACAGGAGTGGTTCTACTTGATTAATCCATGATAGGAGGGCCACTTCCTGTTTGGTTACATATGTAGGCTTCGGCCGAACTGCGTCCTTCTAACCCTAGTTTTTAATGCACATATGAACGATGGTTTTTGAGAATCCTGGTGGTTTGAATAGGAAAATTTGTTGGATGTCTAGGTGACTCATTCGGAGCTGTTAGAGACTGGACTATGTTTTCATAATTACGAACTTATCTTTGAGGTTTATAAATTATGATCGATGGTCTTTCTTTTTATTGAATATCACATACTTGTATTATTGTCACTCACCTGAGCTTTGCAGTTTATCTGAGTTCTGGTTGGCCAGTGCACCATTCTCATGATGTAGGCACTGATTATATATATGATAGATTTGGGTAGATTACGAGAAACCGCTAGATATTTTGGATTCTGTTGAGTGGTTCGGAATCCTTGCTCCTGTTCATTTCCATAAGGTTCGT